CAGAGGGAGAAGCAGACTCCCTGCTGAGCAGGGAGCCCGATGCGGGACTCCATCCCAGGACTCCAGGATCATGACCTGAGCCGAAGGCAGTCGTTTTGGGCCACTTCTTTGGCCCCAGTTTCTATCTTTTTTTTTAACGTTTATTTTTTAAGTAATCTCTTCACTCAATGTGGGGCTCAAACTCAAGACCCTGAGATCAAGAGTCGTGTGTTCTTCTGGCTGAGCCAGTCAGGTGCCTAAAATTTCTGTCATTTCTAGTATTATTCCTAAGGCAGGACATCTGGCTTATCCTAGATGAGTTACTCTTTTTCTTTACATTAGTTCTAAATTTTGTTTTAAAATCTTCTCAATGCGTAATTTCTAAAGTCACACTTTTTGTTAAAAATTTAAAAGTTTCTATGTGCTCTTCTGACAGCTTTGCTTATTTTTGGGTTAGAGAACTTTTTCCATCAGACCTAAGATTGAAGGAATGCAGTATGCTGCCCTCAGCCTCTGAAACGGAGGCTTGTCTTCTCCAGCATTTACGTCTTCAAGCACTGGTTCAGAAGGAGCAGACCCAGACTCCGGGCCAACACGGAATGAATGCACAGTCAGGACACAGAGGGGAGAGAGCAGGGAAGCCTTGTTTAAACTGTGGTTGTGGCGAGAATCTTTGGGGGAAGAGAAATTCAAGAGGAGTTTATTAAGAGCATTATTTTAAAAGTATAAGATTTGTGACTGCAATATATAAACTTAAGTGACTTTGGGAATGAACAATGTATATGGCACAAGGGTGAAAAGTTAATCATCATTCTCGTTATAAATCTGACAGAGTATTTGTAATCGGGTGATTACAAATACTGTGATACCGCCTCTTGCCAATTAATTCTGAATGTTCTCATTGTGAACATTCTCTGGATGAGCAAGGATTCTCTGTAAAAGGAAAAAAGCAAGATCCTTAAAGTATCAGTATAAGTCGAATCTCCTTTTGCTGGAAAAAAAAAACAATTATGGTTCCAGTTATAGAGGATCGTTTCTCCATTTTGGCGTAGAGCCGTTAACCACTCTGCTTTGCTAATAATAAACAATAGTGGTTCACAGAGATGTTACTTTAATTAATGCGTTTCCTAAATGGTTTCCTTTTGAACTCTTTTTCTCCTCCTAGCCCCTTGCTTCAAATATGAGGCAAATCTCCATCCTGACCTCGACTCTTTATTCTCTTAGAAGCTTCCAGAGAGCAGAAAACGTGTCTGTTACCAGTGGGTAAAATAGTGCTGGTCACCTATTAGACGCGATCAGCCCTAAGCAGTCAGCTCTCAAAACCGCATCTTTCCTTCTGTGCTTCTGCCCATAGTTCGTCACTGTTCTTTCAAGAAACAATGGTGTCCCATGAAAACTGCAGTTCACAACTCGACGAGGGGAGAGCTCTTCCTTGAGGTCCCCGCATGCATACGTCAGGGCCCAGCCCCAGTGCTCTGTGTACTTTGTATCACCCAGGCTCCTGAAAAGTCCTGTATTCAAGGGTCGGGACTACATAATATGAATCATTGTGACTGTTCTTCAAGGACTTTGTTAAGCGACTCTTAAGTGAAACTGGCTTTTGTTGTTTCACGGGAGGGCACGGTAGTGAAGAATAATGCGGTGACGGCTGGTACAGCCGGGGCCAGGAGTTTTGCCCACCCTTGTCTTCTCACCGTCAGTTGGTCCGCACGTGTCAGTGCAAAGCCAATCAAGTCTTAGTATTATTATGAAGAGTTTTGCCCTCACAAGACCCTTGCAAGAGGTTCACTCGAAGCTTGGTGACGCGCTGCCCTAGGCTTTCAGGATGTCATGGCCGCTGCCCCTGTGGAGCTTGCGTTCCAGTGACGGAAGACGCCCAACAAGGGGAGAAGTAAACAAGGTGATTTCAGAGTGTGATCAATTCCGTGAAGAGAATAAACACTGGGAACGGCATAGACAGTAGCTAAGGATGGAGGAGGGGCTGCTTTGGAAGAGGCCACTCTGAAGAGATGACCTCTGACCCAAGAACTCAAGGGTGGAAGGGGGTCTGCCATGCCCAAGACTGGGGAAGAGGTTTCTGGAAAAGTGATATAGCAAGGACCAAAGCCCCAAGGCAGGAAATAGCTTGGCATTTAAGGAAGAGGGGCCCCTGGGTGGCGCAGTTAAGCATCCCGACTCTTGGTTTCGCCTCAGGTCATGATCTCAGAGTCTTAAGATCAAGCCCCATGTTGGGCTCTGAGCTCAGCGGGGAGTCTGCTGAAGTTTCTCTCTCCCTCCCTGTGCTTCCACTCTCTCTCTTTCTCTCTCTAAAATAAATAAATCTCAAAAAAAAAAAAAAAGACAAGAAAGAGATGAGTCTGTTCTGGATAATGGCAGTATTTTTTATGACCCCTGTGGTTCCTTCAAGGGGGATTCCATATTCTTATCATTAAAAATTGTAATAGTATATGTACTAACTTGTTTAATCCTTCTAACAATCCTGTTATCCCCATTTTACAGATGAGGAAACCGACGCATGCTGAGACTAGGAAAGCGGTGACACAGCTAGAACACCAGGGGGTTTGGCCACAGAACCTCTAATCTTTAGAGCCTCTTTTTGAGAAAACAATCACTCAGTAGATAAAAACTTCCTTGTTAGTGCATGAAAAAGCTTTTCTTTCTTTCTTCCTCTTTCTCTTCTCTTTTTCTTTTCTTTTCTTTCTTTCTTTTTTTTTTTTTTGGTATATAACGTATAGAATTTGTCCCTCCTGCTTTGGGTCTGGAGAACCGGAAGCTGTCAGGGCCACTGACACATCACATCTGTCACTTGAGGAAAGAACAGTAGCTCAATGGAAAGGAGTTTCTCTGAATAATTCCCCTGAAAAGTTTCTCTCTCAACTTGAGCGGTCACAGATGCATTGAATCTTTATGAAGCTTTTGTCTTATTCTAAATGAGATATAAAGAGCAATGAGCTGTGCAACCGAATGATCCACTCTGGCAGGTTCTCTGTCTCTGCGACGCAGGTTGGTTGGAGGGATTTGTCTAACTTCTGCACGGTCCCGTCAGGAGGTCACAAAAGTCGAATGCCCTACTGCCGAACTTATGCAGATTCCCTCTCTAGGAGGGAAGGGAAGGGGACCTCACTGTCAGCTTGGGTAGGAAAGGACAGCCTTACCCCAAACAAGGGCAGTGAGACCACCCATGTCACATCCTTGAGATGTTTGCGCTGACCCAGCAGCATCTCTTTAATCTTCTTTATGGAATCTTCTCTGCTTTGCTTCTTCTCAGCCCACCCCCCCGACCCCCCCAACTCCCCTCAGCTCCAATCCACAGGCATTGGGTGAAGCTGCAAACCTAACTCAAAAAGTTAGATTTACTCCCTTGTTATAGGCGCTCTGTCACCTGGCCTGCAACAGAACCACATTCCTCACTGAGAGACCAACGCCAGTCCACCAGCCTTTTGTTTTCTACATCTCAGCCCTAATAGTAGACTCTGGCTTCTGTTCACCAAGAATCCTGCTCGGAGCTTCTGGAAATTATGTGGTTAAATCAAGGAACTCTCTCCTGGCAATAAGATAAACACAGAATATGCTTGATCAATTTTCTACCTCTGACTTTTGTAATACCTAACAGACTATAAGCTTCACAAGGGTAGAGTCTTGTCTGTTTCTGCTCATCTTTGTACTCCCAACACGGGCACAATGCCTCCCACGCTGCGTGTGTTCAGTGATGATCTGTTGAATGATTGAATGATTAAATGAGTGGTTTAACTGGACACATGGAAATAGACACGTGAGTGTAGTGAGAAATGTATTCATTCACTTGGTCTTTTCTTCATGGGTCCACAAATATGTATTGAGCACTGAATATAACAGACATGCTGTTAGATGCTAAGAATACAAAATCCCTGGTGAAGCAATCTAACCAAGGGGACTTTCCCAACGAGGTAGTCTCAAAGAAATAGTCCTTTATGCAATTGGCAGCATGAGTTAAGAGTCTTCTGCATGTAGTACTCTGTACTAACCCAGAAAAATGGAAGTAAATGGAAGACATTTCCTTTCATCACAGAGCCTTCAATCTAAAGGCCAGAGAACATGGCCGTATGCAACATACTAAAATGTTACGCAATGACACATATAGGAGCAAGAATTTTCTTGTTAATATATCACCTATTGTACACTGCAGCCTTATGACTAATTGAGTGATTATTAGTTATGGTGTCTCCGTCAGAGTTTCCGTCTGGCTGCAAAGCTGTCCCCACCCTCTGTTTGTGGAACTCCCCTTCATGCAGATCTCAGGGAGTCTGTATCTACTTCTCTGTCCAGATGCCCCTATTAGTCTCTCTTTTAAGAACCCAGTTCTCTTCCTTCTAAAGCTTCATCCCAATTTGCAATTAGATATTTGTTTGTAGTCTTTCTCTTTTACTGCACTGCAAGCTCCCAAAACGCAAGGACTTTTTCTTTTTTAATATTTATTATTTTTTTAAGATTTTATTTATTTATTTGAGAGAGAGCAAGAGCAAGGGGAGGGGCAGAGGGACCAGGAGAGGGAGAGACAGGCTCCCCACTGAGCAGGGAGCCCAACATGGGGCTCAGTGCCAGGACCCTGGGATCATGACCTGAGCCGAAGGCAGACTCTTAACGGACTGAGCCATCCAGGCGCCCCAGGACTTTTTATTTTGATCAGGTGATCTTTCAAATGCCTTGCATTGTGCCAGTACATATTTGTTAAATATATGAATTAAGGATCACAGCCAAATTCCTGCTTAAAATATTTTGATACCTAGCAGATAGGATTACAGTGATAATTGAAGAAGCTCATGACTTGATTGGTCACACAGGATTTCTCTCTTTACATTGAGCTAAATGACTGTTTTCACCCATGCTGGGCAACATTCTGGTCTAGATTCTAGTTTACTTTTTTTTTAACTTAATTTTTAATCATGATAAAGACTCTACTTAAATTTCAAGTGATTTATTTGCACAATTTATATAATATTGTTTTTACTGAAATTTTAGAAATACATGTTTTAAACAGCTGCTGATTTAGAAAATATATCAGAAAACAAGTAAATTGGTACTCTGGTAAATATGTATCCATTAATCTATCTTTTTTTCACTTGCTTTTATTTTTTATCTTTTATTTTTATTGAGATATAGTTTATCTCAATTATAGGACAACTATATATAACATTATGCAGGTGTAAGCTATACAAACGTACAGCTTTGATACACTTACGTGTTGTGGTATGATTACCCCCGTAGCCTTAACTAATGCCTCCATCACCTCGCATAATTCTTTCTTTTCTTTTTTTTTTTTTTGTGGTGAGAACATTTAAGACCTAGTCTCTTAGCAACTTTGATGTATATAATACAGTATTGTTAACGATAAACACAACGCTGTGCAGTTGATCCCCAAAACTTAATCATCTTCTAACTGCAAGTTTTCACCCTTTGACCAACATCTCTCCAATTCCCCCACCCCTCAGCCTTACTTTTAAAAACAGACAAGAATTTATTTTTTAAAGATTTTATTTATTTGAGAGAGAAAGAGAAAGAGCAGAGGGGAGGAGCAGAGGGACAGGGACAAGCAGACTCTGCACTGAGCGCAGAGCCTGATGTGGGGCTTGATCCCAGGACCCTGAGATCATGACTTGAGCTGAAATCAAGAGTCAGCCACTCAGGTGCCCCGACAATAGTTTATTTTTTTTAAATTATTCTTGGGGCTTGGCTGGCTCAGTCAGTAGAGCATGCAACTCTTGATCTTGGGATTGTGAGTTCAAGCTCCACGTTGGGTGTAGAGTTTATTTAAAAAAACAACAACAAAAAAATTATTGATTTATCTTCCTTTTTTACGTGGTATGTTTGGGTTTATAACTTTAAAGTGCTGACACGTTTTTAAAGATGTATTTATTTATGAGAGAGGCAGGGAGGGAGCAGAGGGAAAGAGAAACTCAAGCAGACTCCCAACTGAGCATGGAGCCCTATGCGGGGCTCCATCTCAGGACCCCGGGAATTACGACCTGAGCCCAAACCAAGAGTCAGACACTTACCCGAATGCACCACCCGGGTGCCCCAAAAGTGCTGAAGTGATGAGGGCTGAAACGTTTAACCTTACCCAGATTTTTAATACTAACCGCACTGCCCTAAGTTTGAAAACAAAACCACAGATTGTGGCATTTTCTGACCGTTAGAGGGAGCCACGACTTTCTGAATCTTAGACTCTGTAGAGAAACTTCCTCTTCTGTCATCTTAAAACTAAGGCCTCTTGAAAGTACTTAAATTAAATTTTAGCTCAGTAAATTCCCTTAAATAGAAAAAGATCCTAAGAGGTAGAAAGAAATAAAATAAGTAGTCAATTGATTTACATTTAACATTCAGAAATGCTGCTTGTTAGAATTTGAATTCATTTTCAGATTTTTCAGAGGTTTGAAGGGCCCCGCTGAGTTTATTAACAACACAATAGTCAGTTAGAAAACCAGAGAGGGAACTGCTTAAAAGGAAAGAGTGACTGATGGGGTCAGAGCCCTAAAATCCTGGTGACTTAGCAAATCGCAGCACAAGGATTTTTCCCTTAAAAAATAGGGAGGGGGGGGGTGCCTGGGTGGCTCAGTTGTTAAGCGTCTGCCTTCGGCTCAGGTCATGATCCCGGGGTCCTGGGATCGAGCCCCACATCGGGCTCTCTGCTCTGGGGAAACCTGCTTCTCCCTCTCCCACTCTCCCTGCTTGTGTTCCCTCTCTCGCT